CAATTTCTTGTTGTTATAAGGGGGTGGGGGGTGGGTATTGTGTATTTTCCAGGCACATAGTTTAATTCAACACCACAATCATGCAACTGTATTAAAAATAAATCAGAACTTGCATCATACCCCTGCAAACTGAGCTCCAGGGGAGGAGCTTTGTGTAAATAGGCGGAGCTTTGTAGCAGCCAGTGTTTAGGCAGCTCCACATGGCTCCCATGGGAGATCCAAGGATTTCTCAAACATGCATGAATGAGTTAAAACAACACTCTGGGTGTGTTTGACGTGGGAATGACATGAAATAAAGCTAAAAAAATAAAGTTAATTTTGTACAACACCCCCTCCCCCTTTAAATAATACAAAGTTTGTTACAGCTCTAATGTGTGATTGTGTTTTTATCCCATCAGGTCCTGAAGAGTGAMAATCATCTAAACAACACAGGTTGGTGCAGAAATGTTGTAAATGAACATTAACGCTCTGGTTTAGTTGCTTAGCTAATTTAATGTTTTGCATTTCCAAATTTGACAATTTGTCCTCAGACTGGTTTTAGGTTCAGTTGTTGTTTTATTAGTAGGAGAAACTTATTACAGTTTCATATTTGTCCAATTGATAAGAGTTTAAAGATATTAATTTGCTTTTTGCTCAAAATACAATCACAGATTGAGCTCGTCATTTATAAATCAACAACCAGTGACTGAGACTCGACACAACTGCAGAGAAAAGTCGGAGTTAAGTTCAGCAACTAAATATTTAGAGATAAAAGGAGGAATGAAGTCTTTTAGGCATCTGGTTTTGACATTAGAGCTCAACCTAAACGAAGACACGAAGGCATCGGTGAGACCCTCRGAGAGCAGCGAGGCGACGCCCAGGACGAGTTCAGACGTGAGAAACACCAACAGCCTTGAGCTCCAGCAACAGAAACGACACAAAGAGATGGGAGCTGTGATGCCGCGGCCCCCGCAGCATCCTCAAACACAACACGTCATTTTCTTAAGTCTTTGTCTATATAGAGGCACATAGAAGGCTTGCAGGTTACAGTTTAAAAAGCATTTACGTGTTTGAGCCAAGAAGAGCACGACAAAAACACACAAACTCACGAGAAGTCTCCAAWGGGGTCGCTCAAGTTTCCCCGAAGGACACAGCAGTTAGAATAAATAAGAGAAACTGCAGTAATTATATGTGTGTGCGGGGG